GGAGGGAAGGTGTTGAACAATACTGTCATTTCGAATGATTTGTTTGTTTAAGTGCATAGCAGCTGTAGCCTAAGCTCTTTCTCTTGGTCTCAGGGGCTTCCATGCAACCTAGATGATCTGCTGCTCCCAACCGACACAGACTTTGCACAGGACGTCTATGTTATAGGAGTTCAGGAAGGGTGTCCGGATAGGTAAGACTTTGAGTTGCTTTTCACAGGGTTTTTTTTTTGTCTGTTTCTGATACTCAGCACATTTACTCTCTTCATGTTTGTCCACAGGAGGGAGTGGGAGATCCATCTGCAGGAAACACTTGGGCCGTATTACGTGATGCTGTACGCAGCAGCCCATGGCGTTCTCTATCTCACTGTATTTGTCAGGAGAGACCTCATATGGTTCTGTTCAGGTAAAGCTTTTTTTCTTCAAATTAAAATGATATAATATATGTTGTGCACTACTGTTCAAAAGTTTAGGTTTTTTAATGTTTTGAAAGAAGTCTCTTATGCTCACCAAGGCTGCATTTATTTGATCAAAAATACAGTAAAACAGTAATGTTGTAAAATATTACAATTTAAAATAAAATTTTTGCTATTTTAATGTATTTTAAAATGTAATTTATTACTGTGATGCAAAGTTGCATTTTAACTTTATTACTTCAGCCATTACTTCAGTCTTCGGTGTCACATGATCCTTCAGAAATAATTCTAATATGTGACCATGGACCACAAAAACAGTCTTAAGTCGCTGGGGTATATTTGTAGCAATAGCCAAAAAAACATTGTATGGGTTAAAATTATCGATTTTTCTTTTATGAAAAAAAAAAATCATTAGGATATTAAGTAAAGATCATGTTCCATGAAGATAGTTTGTAAATTTCCTACCGTAAATATATCAAAACTTAATTTTTGATTAGTAATATGCATTGCTAAGAACTTCATTTGGAAAACTTTAAAGGCGATTTTCTCAATATTTTGATTTTTTTCGCCCCCCTTAGATTCCAGATTTTCAAATAGTTGTATCTCGGCCAAATATTGTCCTATCCTAACAAACCATACATCAATGGAAAGCTTATTTATTCAGCTTGATGTATAAATCTAGAGAAATGTAGAGAAATTGACCCTTATGATTGGTTTTGTGGTCCAGGGTCACATATGTTGATTTGCTGCACAAGAAACTTTAGTATTATCAGTGTTGAATTATCAGTGATATTGTCAGTTCAAATGAACAGCATTTATTTGAAATAGATTTTTTTTTTTGTGACCGTATATAATCTTTACTGCCATTTTCGGTAAATTTTTCATTTGTTTAATGTTGCCTTGTTGAATAAAAGTATTAATTTCTTTAACGGTACCATATTGTGAAAACTGAAATTTCCTGTCTTTTTTCATGATAACTGAGGTCTAGGTGCTATGTAACTACCATATATGGTTTTTGTCTGGCAGTGGCAGCAGATATGCGATCAAATTTCTCATTTGAGTATATATTACGTTGATTCTGGCACCCAACATCACAACAAGATGATATTTTAAGCTCCTTATGTAGCCCGAACCTGCGCAAACTACAGACCCAACATTTTTGAATAATATAATATAATAATAGATAGCTGTCTTTTTTGCCGTTACAGAGGTGGAACATGCTACAGTTACAACCAGAATTATATCTCAGATTAAGACTAAAGGAGCTGTGGGTATCGGCTTTACTTTCTTCGGGACATCCTTCCTCTTTATTACATCCCATTTCACTTGTAAGTGGAATATTTTTAACAACCCAGTTATATAAACTATAAATAAACTATAAATAAACCCAACCATCTTTGTATTTGTCTCAGCTGGAGATTCTAAAGTATATGAGAGGATCTTAGATTACAACAAGATCATAGAAGCTTTGGCTCTTCCTAGAAACCTCCCAGATACAAACCCTTACCGCTCCACAACATGTGAGTGTTTCTGCATTTGTCACATTTGTCATATATAGTGTATTTATTTTTCTGTGAATGATCAAATTTGCCACTCATTCTCAGCTGATGTCACAACCCGTTTTGATGAGGTCTTCTGGTTTGGAGATTTTAATTTCCGCCTGAATAAAGCCAGAGGTGAGGTGGAGGCCATTTTGAATCAGGTTACGGGCGCAGATATGAGCCCACTATTACAGCATGACCAGCTGCTGAAAGAGATGAAAGAAGGCAAGTTAGATGCAAAATTACAGTCCTGTGTAATTTATGCATATGCTCCCTTCAAGGAAAAATACAAATTCTTTAACAGGAAGAATCTGTCTTTGTGCATTTGCAGGTTCCATTTTTAAAGGGTTTCAGGAAGCATCTATATACTTTCCTCCTACATACAAGTTTGACATTGGTTGTGACGTCTATGACACCACCACAAAGCAGAGAACACCCTCATATACAGTAAGCTTTTTTGCTAATTGCATGATGATAATGCATCACTACATACCCTTTAGTACAGTTGTTGATTTTTCCTCATTTGTTGACAGGACCGGATTCTTTATCGAAACAGACAAGCAGATGACATTAAAGTGGTCAAGTATATGTCTTGCTTGTCCATTAAGACATCAGATCACCGGCCTGTCATCGGCATGTTTCAGGTCAAACTTCGTCCAGGTCGAGATAAGTAAGCGTCTTTATTCAATGATTTTAACGGTTGCACTTGCACTTGTTTCTTCTAATTGGGTAGTTATCTAGAAAGGTAGTTAAAGGGTTGGTTTATCCGAAAATGAAATTCTGTCATTATTTACTCACCTTCACGTTGTTCATCTTAATGTTGTTAATTTTAGAAACACAAATGTAGATATATTTAATAAAACCTGAGATTTCTGTTCATCCATGTCACCAAAATTATCATAGTTTCAAAAATGTCATAAAGACATTGTAAAAGTAATCCATATGAGTCGAGCGGTTTAATTCAAGTCTTCTTAAGAGACATGATGGCTTTAAATGTTGAACTGATTTAATTTAGGGTATGTTACCCATATTTAACCCTCTTGTGCTCTTCATTAGAGTGGTACGAAACTTGGTAAAGGTTTTGGCACTTACTATGTGAACACAAAAAGAAAAAAGTCATGGGCATAATTCAAAAAGTTCAAATGGTACTGAAAATAGTCACACTTGTACTTCCAGCAGCCAAAATTGTCTGCATTGAAAACGAATGGGACATTTTTGAGATCTCAACCTCAAATTTGGAACACAACTTTTTTTAGGTTTTGATTTTCTTGTGGTTTTAGAGTAAAATATGTTTTGGTAAATATATATTTCATATACAATTTAAAAATTGTATTTTTGTGCATTTTTCATAATAATTAACATAATACAATTATAAGAGACCAAACTTAAGTCTGCTCCAAAGAATTCCAGCAGTTGGAAATGGAAATGTCATTTTCAGATCTACGCTGAAAAAGTGGTTAACCGGTAATAAATGAATCACAACTATTGCATAAATAAAATTTAGTACCATAAAAAATATACCTAAAAATACAAGGTATTAAATAAAACAGTATCAAACTAAAATATAGTATATTCATATCACTAAAATAAAAAAAGGTCATTTTTGGGCTTCAGCATCAGGTTAAACACTGATCAAAGCACTTACATATAGTTCATCAAATATGGGAAGCTCACTTCAAAAGTTTCATTGTATTTCGAAGATTAATGTTTGGGTGAACTAAACTTTTAACCAGTAGTTAGCCAGATTTACTCTACATTCACATTCATGTAATTCTTGTATATTGATGTTACATGTTGCATTACAAAGATAATGACGCAAATGCACTGGGTCCTGGGACACCTTCTACTGTCATTCTACAAAACAAACCACATGATTTATTCTAGTAGACACAAGCTTTTCATCAATTTACGAAATGGAATGTTAATGTTTTGTGGTCTGTTCATGTTTCACAGGATGTTATTCGTGTAGGTTTGAGAAACCACTAAATCAGTGTATTATCCTCCCCAGCATTCCTTTGGGTGCTGGCCAGTTTGACAGGAGCCTGTACCTAGAAGGAATCCGAAGGAGAATCACCAGGGAGCTGAACAAGAGAGAGGCAGCCATGAAGATCCAGAATAACAGCACGGTTTGCACCATATCCTGATCGGGGACCAGTGTGTGAGAGCCGTAGGGTGCTAAAACTGATCATTTCAAACACAGAGGTACTGACTTGGAAAGCTGGACTTTCAGGACCAAAGGATAACTCGGTACTACGGATGTCAAGTGCACAGTCCAGCGACTAAAAGATTGCGGCTGGACAGCTGGTACTATAAAATATTATAGAAATCTATAAAATATACTGACCGGAGTAAATGAAGTTAGCTGTACTGTACATCAGTTATTCCTAATCAATTTTTTGTATTATTTCATATTCTGGTATTTATCTTGCAAGCCGAAACAATCTCTTCTGTATATGGTTCCAACTGATAGTGTTTAATGGCCTTGTTAAACCATTAGCTCACCTTTAACTGATAACTGTAAACACATACCAGTACCAGGCAGCTCATTTGATTGGCTCCTGGATCATTTTTGAAGAGTTACCTAACAATTTGCTACTATAGCATATAGTAACTATAGAAGAGTTACCTAACAACCGTACTGTAGCATAATTACCAGCAAAATTTGGGAGAATTTGTGTTAGCAGTTGTTTTTATTGGTGGATTGTCATTGATAGGTCAATGTGGTATCATGTAGAGAGGCTGACCTTGGGTTCAATTGAGTGCAAAATCTAAGCGAGGAGGCACAGACTATACTTGAGTTTACTGCCTTAACATATCCAATATAATTCAGCTTACTTGATGTCAAGTGTGATAGATGTATGGGAGCAGGAACGACCATAGTATTGGTGTTGCTTGCGCATGGATCTCGGTGACTGGTGTAATAAGTCATGCATTCACATCATGAATTTCAGTTCTATTTGTACTGAAAGTGCCTGCGATCTTTCTCATGATTGCCTCAGTGACTTCAAGTACATTCTGCTGTTTAAAACCAAATAATAGCCTGTTATAAATGTTTATTTACTATGTAAAGTAATACCAAAACTCATACTTGAGGTGTTATTTCTTATTTGTTTCGATTACACATTTTGGACCAAATGTGTACATGAAATAAATAATACAAAGGATCAAGCTTTTATTTTTTAAGGGAACATGAGGGTTTTTGCTCATTACAGTTTCAACCATTCCTATCATCTTAATAGGCAGCAATGGAAAAAAAAAATATATAACAGTAAACATGTACTGATGAAGTACAAGGGAATAAATATATTCTTGTAGGGTAATCCAACACAAACCGCTAAACAGACATACATTAATCTGGCAAACAAACTCTTAATTAGTGATCAGAGGTTCACGTTAACAGTGATTTAGCAAGAGAAAAGGGGATTATCATTATGTACACTGTGTTTTCACAGCAAGGGTAAGTGGTAAACCGCACAGTTTGTGTCATTCTGTTCAGATATTTCAATATACTGACTAAAGCATAAGAGTTTTGTAGAACTTTCTGAAAATTGGTATGTGATGTGTGAAATATCATTTGGGTTTGCCCAGTTTTACACCGAAAAGCACAGCCTATGAACAACAATGCAGAAATGTGAACAAATGCCATGGAAAAGTCCACTTGTCGAGCCAGTTAAGATAGAAATGTGAAATTAACAAATTCATGTACTTTAAACACATGGCGAATTCAACAAAATCATGCAAAAATAATGCATTGGTGTGTGAATTTAAACTCGGCCAATTTCAAAATGGTCACTTACACACCCTCATGTCATTACAAACCTTTCTTTCTTCTGCATAACAGAAAAGATATGTTCAAGAACCAAACCCATTAGAGCTCATCGACCTACAGTTTTGAAATGACATGAGGGTGATTTTTGGGTCAACTATTGTTTTAAACTCACGTTTTAAGTACTGTATAGATTAAATGCAACCACAGTTTAAGCATTGCACTTAAATTCCAGTCCAGAATGATATTTGTTGGGTCAGTCCTCATATTTGCGTCTAGATGGTGCCAGCGGTCAGTCCTCTATTGGAACAGGCGGTATATGCGAGGCAGACGTCCGTCTTTACTAGAGAGAGCGGCTTGAATGTCCTCGTATGAGGGCAGCTCTGTCAGATCTCCCAGTGCTGCCACCGCAGGCTTACTACGCAGCATTTTCGTTGTAACTCTCTTGATGTCACTGGCTGTAACATTACCTAAAACAAAGAAAAGTGTGTGTGTGTGTGGGGGTGGGGGGGTCTGTTAATTAATATTTTTTTAGCAAATATGTCTCCCAGAAAGAACTAGTGAATGGTATGATACTGATATAACATATTTAAGCCAAGTAATGCAATTAAGTATGTACGCTACCGTTCAAAAGTTTTGGGGTCGGTAAGTTTTTGAAAGAAGAAAGTCAAAAATATTTATAAAGTCTATATGTAATGTCTCTTATGCTCACAGAGGCTTTATTTGATCAAAGATACTGTGAAATATTATTACAATTTAAAATTAACGTTTTAATACATTTTAAAATGTGATTAATTCTTATAAAGCCAAAGCTGAATTTCCAGCAGCCATTACACTCCAGGCTTGGGTGTCGCATGATTCTTCAGAAGTCATTCTAATATGCTGATTTTCTCAAACTTTTGAACGGTTGTGTATTAAGTATTTTGTGAATGTTACAAACATGCATTTACATGCTAAATGAAGCTTTCATATAGGCTTTATACTTTGCAGTAAACATCAGTACTTACTGATGAGCTCACGCAGCTCATGTGGCAGCTTCCTCTTGCCTGTCGCAAGTACTTGTCGACCTACGTCTTCAAAGATGACCGGTCGTGACTCCAAGTTCATCATGAGCATGGATTTCAGTTGCGTCTTGGCTCTCTCTAGCTCGATCTGCACAAGTGAGAGATTTCAGGTTATGAACACAAATTCACAATGAGTCAAGTCACCTATGATGTGATGACATATGATCATCTTTTTTTTTTTCATATTTAAAAATGTAATATACATTAATTATACAGAAGACTGTACTTTTGTTATATTACCGAGGAATTACATTTCAGAAAACAATGTTCAGACCACTGTAGTCAAGCTCTGAATATTGTTTTCATCTGTTGGAAAGTCCTAGAGATTCTACGGTGGATTTTACAGGGTTTCTGCAGGTTTTATGAAGATAAATTTAAGACTTTTTAAGTCCAAGTAAAGAAAACGTAAGGAATAAACTGAATATAACAATTTGTCTAAATGTAAATGTCTTGTATGCTTCAACTACAAATTCCAATAATAACTTCATTACTTTTTAATTCATTTTACAAAAGAAAATAGATTGAGGCTTGAATAGCTCTGCTCCATACCAATAGAATATGGAAGTAACTTTTACTGTACCTTCCGATCACATTTTGCAAAGTGAGGTTCTTCCTCAATATTTCAGTCATGTTTTCTAGTGCAAATATCTAACGATTCATAAATCAAAATCCATTTACTTGAGCAGCAAAATTACACGAGTTTCGTTTTATGAGAAAATTATCAAAATGAAGGGACTGGGAGATTATGACTAAAACAGGAATAAATATCTGCCAATGGACTCAGAAAAATCAACCTAATTCAAAGGAAAAACCCATTGAGAACTCACTTAATTTTGCTCAATTTCTCTGAAAACAAGACTTTTGCATCTCAAGTAAATGTATCTTGATTTAAGGATCTTTATATTGGAAACAAGACAAAAACCCTTAAGATATTCATTTTTTGCAGTGCATGGGACATTTAATGCCATGGCTTTGTGGATTTTAAGACTCTGCTGTGATTTAAGACCTTCTTAAAGGGTTAGTTCACCCAAAAATGAAAATTATGTCATTAATTACTCACCCTCATGTCGTTCTAAACCCGTAAGCCTTCGTTCATCTTCGGAACACAAATTAAGATATTTTGGATGAATTCTGAGGGCTCTCTGACCCTCCCATAGACAGCAATGTAATTACCACGATCAAGGTCCAGAAACGTAGCAAGGAGATCGGTAAAATAATCCATGTGACATCAGGGGTTCAACCGTAATTTTACGAAGCTACGAGAATACTTTTTGTACGCAAAGAAAACAAAAATAACGACTTTATTCAACAATTCGTCTCCTCCGCGTCAACCTTTTGGAGAGTATCCACTGAATGTAAACAGCGTATGCTATTCTGTGTCAGCTGCGTCACGCGGATACATTGTTTTCGTTCAATTTAAAGAGTAAAGAACATAGAAAATGTATCCGCGTGATGCAGCTGACACAGAATAGCAAGAATTTAAAAAGAACTGTTTTCTTTGCGTACAAAAAGTATTCTCGTAGCTTTGTAAAATTACGGTTGAACTACTGATGTCACATGGATTATTTTACCGATCTCCTTGCTACGTTTCTGGACCTTGATCTTAGTTTGTGTTCCGAAGATGAACGGAGGTCTTACGGGTTTAGAACGACATGAGGGTGAGTGATTAATGACAGAATTTTCATTTTTGGGTGAACTAACCTTTTAAGTTTAAGAATGCGCCAGACATTGTTGGTTATTTACTTACATTGAGCTTTATCCATTCGTTATCTCCAGTGGCGTGGGGTTGTCTTGGTGATGTTGGTAAAGATTCTCCCACTACTACTTCTTCTCTTTATGTCTGCACAAAGGTCACAAAACGTTTCAAAACATGAAATCTGTTCATCACTTTACCTTAAATTTTCTCAAATCAAGCCAACGTAATATTTTAAAGCTTGATCAACTGCGAATGAAAGCCAAATTTGTGTATTTTGGTGCCAGACTCCATATAACACGTCTAGCCTAAATGTATTTTATTTACTGTGGATTTAACCTGAAAAGCCATCACATTTTCTTCTTGCCTGTTGTTTTGTTACTTGCTACCGGGTGTCTGTGAGAACAAAACACGGGCGTAGAAAAGACAGAAAAGACT